CAATACCAGTGCATTTCAGCTCACTAATGCCTATGATATCGATGTTTATGCACTCCATTTCATTTGTGACGATTTTCAAATTTCCTAGATTATACTTCATACATCCCACTTTCTGATTATTAACATGTTTGCAGCTATTTCTTCTCATTTTGAGTCATGACACATTAGCAAATGAAGGTCCCAAAAGCTTGACTCCATCCATGTCATTAAGGTCAACTCTACTTTGAGGAGGCAGCTCTTCCCCAGTTGTATTTTGAGTGCCTGAGGGCTCATCTTCTGGCACTACATCAGACAATGTTCTGCTGCTATTCATAAGGTTTTCACAGGCTAATTCTTTTCAGAAGCAGACCGCCAGGTCCTTCTTTCTAGTCTGTCTTAGTCTGGAAGCTCAGCTGAAATCTGTCTGCCATGGGTGACACTGCTGGTGGCATAGCTTCCATCATCACAGCAACATGGCACAAACTGGGGTGTGCAAGGAAGACATTTCTTCCCAGACCGCTTTTGAGGTGGGACTGCTCATGATGGAACTTTTCCTGTTGTATGCTGTCTGATTCCTTTAAGTAATAAAAGCTACTTTCTATGTGCTAATGTGTGTTCAGGCTCTGATCAGAAGGATGTGATGTTTATGGAGCAATCCATATTAGTTATCAGCGCCCTTTTTCTAATGGCTTCCTGGCTTCCTAGAAATTGAGTACAACCTGTGAGTACTACACAAATGCGGAGCATTGTCTTACAGTTATGGCGTGTTTGAGCAGGATGTGTTGTCCTACAACAGGATAGAAGCTGTATCATAATATGGGTTTTTTTTTTAAATAATATTTTATAGAGTTTTTGATGAAAATTTACACAGCAAGTTAGGTTCCCATTTGACAATTTCCACACAAATTGTTCAGTGACATTAGTTACATTTATCACAGTGTATCTAGAGAGAACACACTCTCTTCAGTTGTGTTCTGTTTGTCCATTTCTGGTACTCTATCCTTTATTTTGTGTGCCACTCTGCTATTTTGCTAACAGGCAATCTCGGGATAAGCTCAGTTCTGAGTTTAGAGAGTGTCTCAGGGCAATAGTCTCAGGGAGTTCTCTGCAGTTCCAGTTTGTCCGGCTTTTCTTTTTTTTAAATAAGAATTTGAGTTCTGCTCTGTATTTTTCTCCTATTCTATCCGGGACCAACTATTGTGACCCTGGTCAGAACAGTCAGTGGTGGTAGCCTGGCACCATCTAACTCTTCTGGTTTCTAGTTAGATGAGGTTGTGCCTCAGGTTGACTTGTTTCTTCTCTGAGCTTTTGGTTGCCTTCTTACTATTCTGCTCCTGGCGAGTACAGACCAGAGTTGTGTCTTGGGTGGCCGCTCAAAAGCTTTTAAATCCTCAGATACTACTCACCTCCCTAGGACATGGTTCATGTTTTTTTTTTTTAATTTTTTTATTGTACTTTAGATGAAGGTTTACAGAACAAATAGTTTCTCATTAAACAGTCAGTACACTTATTGTTTTATGACATTGGTTAAAAACCCCATGGCATATCAACACTCTCCCTTCTCTCCATTCTCGACCTTGAGAACTTTTTTTTTTTTTTGGTGAAAATATACATAGCCAAAGTTACACCATTT